ATAATTTCGCTTTATTTTTTAATTAATGTACTCTACCTCCTGCAAGTTTGTTCAAAGTTTTATTGTCATTTATTCATTACTATATTACAACTACACAAACAAAAACCTTGTTTAGCAAAATTATTATTTAATAAATTTTCTATTTAGCAGAATTTCTATTTGTAAAATCCTTATATAGTGAAATTGTTACTAATCTAAATTCTTTATGATAATTTTTATTCAATAAAATTTTATTCTGTTATTATTTATTTTATTTATAACTAGCAACACCCAGATAGCACGCAAGCTTGCTGCAAACTTGCAGCAAACTTGCACTGCAAGTTTTGCAAGATTTCAGTGCAAGCTTTCTGCAAGTTTGCAGCAAGCTTGAAATGTCTGGACTGCTGCAAACTTGCACTGCAAGCTTGCAGCAAGTTTGCACAGGAAGTTTGTGGAAAGTTTGCACAGCAAGCTTGCTGCAATCTTGCTGCAAAGTTGCAAATTTTTTTATATATTCATAAAAAATTCTGCTTTTTGTACCTTTTTAAAATTCAATAAAATTAAAATTATTTGCAAAAAAAGGTAAAAAAAACATAATTTTTTATGAATACAAAAAAATTTTGCAACTTTGCAGCAAGGTTGCAGTGCAAGTTTGCTGAAAGCGTTCTACAAACTTGCTGTGCAAACTTTCTGCAAGCTTGCAGCAGTCCAGACATTGCAAACTTGCAGAAAGCTTGCCCTGCAATCTTGCAAAACTTGCAGTGCAAGTTTGCTGCAAGTTTTCAGCAAGCTTGCGTGCTATCTGGGCATAAGCTAACTTCTTACATACTTTTTTAAATAAAATTATCAATTTAAAAAAATAGAATTTAAAAATTTTTAATTCAACCCGAGGAAATTTTCTTACATACTTATTCTAAATTTTGCGCCTACAGAACGACTTGAAAATTAGGAGTACTCGCATTTGCCTGGACCACCCATCTGATGGGTTTTCTCGCCAGTGGAGAGGGAAACTTTAGAAAACCTCTCCTGAGTACAACCGGCTTGTCGACAGTCGAGTTCTAATGGTGTGTACCGGACAATAATCGACGGTGGACATCATTATACCTCGACGTCAAACCTTCCGCTCAGATTGTCTCACGTGCCGGAAAAATACCAAGCCAAGTGGGCGCGAACCAAGGGTACTTACCCTTGGTCCTAAAACGTCCACCAAGCGAGGCATCTATCCAACTGAGCCAATCTGTCGGTTACCAGTTTACCATTTTTATGGATCTAAATTGACAATAAATTGGTTTGAAACTATGTTTTAATATATCAGAAATGATAAATACATTAAAGAATTTAGAATAACTTTTGCAATTTTTTGAGATTTTATTGATTGTTGGACCCTTTTCGCAATTTTTTAGGAGTGGTCCACTCAAGGTTACACTTTTTTCATTCCTTAAAAATTAGCTTTTTCTAAAGTCAATTTTTTTTTTAATAAAAAGAATCAAAGCTATTACGGTATAAACACTTATCTAGGGATCTAAACTAAAGCTTGGAATAGAAACCTCCGATTAGTTTGCTTTCATAAAGAATTTTTTTCGAAAAAAAGCTTAGGCGGTCCACTCAAGGTGACATTTCCCTATTACTATTATAACCACAATAATCATATATTCTGAGAAAGAGGATTCAAGGAAAAGTCAGACATTTTTATTAAAAGTGTAGTGAAAAAAATTAAATTTTTGGAATTCATAAGAAAATTCTGAATTTGGTGTCTTTTTTGTTTGCCTCATAAACTATGAAATTACCACGAATTCTGATACAAAACCTTCAATATTTTCTATTTCTGACAATAATTTCTTTTGTCAGAAGTAGTTTTGATTTGTTTATATGAATAAAGTCGCTGTAATATTTCAATTATTTTTAAATAATATTTGAAGAAATGAATAAATTAGGAAAATTTTTTTTGTGAAATAAAATATTGGGGAAACATTTTTTGTGAAAAATGTTTTTTAGAAAAAAAATTTTGGGAAAATTGACCCCCCACCTAAAATGTACAAAACAAAAAATTTGGTGGAATTATAATGACGTTTTTTTATTGAAATATGAAGTTTTAAAAATAAGTAAACTTGTGATTTATTTCGCTTAGGGTGTCAACTTCAATATTCCGATGTGATAAAGAATTTTAAACCTTACATAAATTTATTATAAACAATTTTTGTTGTGAATGTCATGTGTATACAGTGAGTGCGGCATCATTGAACCACCCGAAAAAGCAAAGAATTTTCAATTTTAAGAGTTGTAAAGTTGTCTGCTCTACTAATTAGTAAGAAAAATACTGGAAGACATGCTTTCATCACAATTGTGAACGAGATAAATTTAAACTGTCACTTTTGCTACCTAACCTGACATCGAAATATATTAATCTCCTATTTTAACAAATAATAACTATTTAACAACAATTTTATATTTTTTTGAGTGGAAAATAAGATTTTTTACAATGTGTAAGTGGAAATATTATTTTCGAAGTAAATCGTAGTGTTTTATTAGAGGTGGTTCAATGTAGACACATATCCTTCAGAATAAGAAAAGTGTAACTGGTTAGAAAAAAATTAAATTTTATTATTTAATCATAATAATTTATGTTTGTAACGTGTGTATTAACTAAAGAAGTGCTTCAGTTTTATTTTCATATAGAAACCTGATCAAAATTTGTAAAATTTAATTAGTTCTTGGACTTTATAAAAAACCTGGTTCAATGTAGCCTACTCTCCCCTATAAATTATTTAATGAATAATTTTACTTAAATATTTCAAAATTAATTTAATTTTAAATTTTTAATGAATTTAATTTGAAATTTTTCAAAACTTAGATTTTTGCAAAATGTTAATAATTCAAATTCTTCTTGAAATTAGTTAAATTTGTCAATATAAATATTTAATTAGGGTCATTTGGGGTAAATGTAAACGAATATTTATTTTTCACGAAAAACATTAGTTTTTTTTATTAAAAGGTAAAACGGACGGATTTCTTTTGCATGAACTTGTTACTTTACTTCCCTCGAAAAATTTGATAAGGTACAAAAAAATATTGATGCACCTGAATCGCCTAAAACTGACTGTTTACATTTACCCCGAGATTTTGAAATTTTCCTAAAATTCGGGGTAAATGTAAACACCACTGTAGTTAAGCGAGGTTTAAGAAACAAGTTATTTCAAGTATACTACTGTTTTAAGGGATGGAAAAGCTGAAAAAAATTCTTCGTAGATGTATAGTAAATCAACCAGTTGACTAATAATGTATCATATAAATAAACAATCAACCATTAGAAAATTAGTAATGTAAAAACTTGAATTACTTCACGGAGAGAAATCTGTTGCGAATAATGCATAGAGTAGAGGTTATGAATATAGCATAAGCACTTACTAGCGAAAAGTATAAGAGGTCCGCCTGAATATCAGTCGACTCCGCCTAATATTCAGGCGGACTCGAGCAATAAATAGGCTCTCTGTTAGGATTTTAGCATCAAAGAATCTATGGAAAAAGTATATGAAAAGTTTCGAGCATTAATCCTAACAGATTTCTCTCCGTGTTGAACAAATTTTAATAGATTTTCATTCAACTTGGTAAAAAGAAGTTTTTTTTTTATTTTGCTGAATAAGAATCTAAAATTGAATTTTTAAATTTCAAAATGGTGGATCCAATATGGCGGATGAACCTAAAAATAATATTTTTAAAAATTGATCAAATTTGCTTGAATCTGGTTACCAGGGGGTTTTTGAGGTTGCTGAATACGAATTTGACGTCAAATTTTTAATTTTCCAAATGGCGGATCCAATATGGCGGATGAACCTAAAGATATTTTTAAAAATTGATCAAATTTAAAAAAAAAAAAATTTTTAAAGAAGACCTAATTTCCTTTTCTATGTAATTTTACATTGCCAAAGTAATGAAATTGTGAAATAGAAGCAAATTTATTCAATTATTTTCTTTTAAAATGTAGTTCAAGTTCTGTTTACATTTACCCCGAGTTTTCGAATTCTCGGGGTAAATGTAAACACTTAATTATTTATTAACTAAATTGACGAAAATCAAAAATCAAAGTCAATTTTTGTTAGGGCATTAATAAGGAAGAATTACATATTTTTGTTTGATTTTTAAATTTATTTTTATGCAAATGCGAGACAAAATACTGAAACAGTAAAATTTTGATTTTCAACTTTTTTTTCATTAAAAAATAACTTACACTATGGCATTGCCAATTGTCAAAATAAAATATTGGCAATACTCAGAACATCTTGTAGGTGAGCTGGGGTAAAAATATTGACGTCGTACTTATTTTTAAATTTGTAAATTTAGCTGAAACATCTACTGTTTACATTTACCCCAAATGACCCTATTATTATTTTAATTTAAAAATTATTATTATTACATTGAACAAATTATTAGTATTAATATAATTTTGTATTTAAATAAATTCTTACTAATTATTTCAATAGAAAAGTACCTTTTGATTTTTTAAATGCAAAAATTATTTTATTATTGTTAGATTTATAAAAAAAATTACAAAGAACTACTACTTATTGATAGTAAAAAAAGATAACGAGAGAGAAAAAAAGGAAGAGAAAAAGAGAAACGAGATAAAATAGATATTAATAAAGTAAAAAAGAAATTTAATGGATATTTTGAAAAAAAATAGAAAAAAATATAGAGAAACACTGAAATATAATGGATTTGAAATAAAATGAAACGAGGAAGTTATTTCTTCAGGGTTTGAAAGTTTCAAGTTTTGTAATTTGAAATATATCACACTACCCTTTCCCCTTCTAAGAAAAATAGACAGAGGTCAGTGGTGTAAAATCCTTCAGTCAATAGGGTTATAACCGAACAGATTGAACTGAAATCGAGGAATGAGGCGCAGTAAGGAAGATATATGGTGAGTTTGGAGGGCGAATTGGCAGAAAACGATTTTGGTTTGAGGTCTAAATCAAAATCCAAGAGAGAGAGAGAGAGAGAGAAATAAGAAAGATAGAAAGACTAACCTGCGTTACTTTTCTTGATGCGTTTTTTACGCAACTCCTTTCGATCCGTCGCCAATCCCAATTCAAGAAGTTTCTCTTTGATCTTTGATTTGGGTCGCTTGATCCGCAATCCGTCATAAATAAGGTCCACAGGATCTTGCCAAGAATAAAAAAGGAAAAAAACATATTAAGAATGTATTTTCTTTTCAAATTACATGTTTCTTTTATGCTATACTTTTCACATTTTTTGATCGCATAAAAAACAGTTTAAATAAAATTTCAATTTTTGTTTTTAAAAAAATAACTAATCTATATTAAATTATTAATCTATATTATCTATCTATATCTATATTAATCTATAATTCTATATCAATATAAAATCAAACTTCTGTCTGTACGTGGTCAAAAATAAATTTTTTCTAGCATAATTTATCATTTTGAACAACAGAGAATACAAAAATGTCCATAAAAAAATTTGTGTCAATAGTTTTATTTAAAATAAATATTTAATCATTATGAATTAAGATTTTCAAATTCAAACCTTTTTGAAATTCAACAATTTACAAGAATATTATTATAAAATATGACGATAGCGATCACTTCATGTTTCGATGACAGACTCAAAATCATTATTTTATATATTAAGAATATTTTTACTTCTTCAAAATTATTTTCATCACTTCAATTAAATTATTTTTAATAATTTTTGAGAAAGTTCTTTGAGAATTTTCAAATTACAATTTAATTTTACGAAATTTTGATTATTCGTAAATTCTTCAATTAAATATATCTTAGAAAATAATAACTTCAAATAATTTTAAAAAAAATTCAATTAAACTTTTTCAAAAAAAATAAATTCTACAAAATTTTTAGTTAAAAATATGAATAATTCAAATTTTCAAAGATTTTAATATTGAAACCTTTTCAAAATTCAATTATTTCTAAAAATTCATGCTATAATGCTTTTAATATTCAATTTGTATCTGAAATTTGAACTGAAATTCATTTATAAATCAATTTTTATTAGAAAATTCTACGAGAATTCAATTATCCAAAATACAAAAATTAATAAATTGAATGTTTCTTACAATTAAATTCCCATAAAGAATTTTATAGATAAATATTTAAATAATTAACTTCTTTCGACGAAATTTGATATAATTTTGAAATATAATAACATTTTTCGTGGAATTTAATTAAAATTTATAATTGAAATATTTAAAAGAATTTTTGCCAAAAATTTTATTACTTTAAAAAAAAATTGAAATTTTGCCAAGAATTCTATTAAAATTTATTCAGAACAATTGAACTTCGGCGAAGAATTTTTCTATATTTATAAAGATAATTGAAATCTTCAAGAGAATTTTTTTTAAAATATTGAAAAAAATGAATTTTTGCGAAGAATTTTGTTATTTTTCGAAAAAATTGAATTTCGTCAAGAATTATATTAAATTTTTTGAAAATAATGGAATTTCGGCTAAGAATTTTGCAATTTATAAAGATAATTGAAATCTTGAAGAGAATTTAAAAAAAAATGTTGAAAACAATTTATTGAATTTCTGCGAAGAATTTTATTACTTTTGAAAATAATTTAATTCTTGTACCTAATGAATATTGTTATTTAGGAAAATAATTTAATTTTGCAAAGAATTTTATTAAAATCCTGAAAGTAATTGAATTTCTGGGCATAATTTTGATATTTATCAAGGTAAGTGAATATTTTCGAAGAATGTTTCTAAAAAATTAATAAAATTTGTTTGCTTGAGATATAATGTTTTCAATAAATTCTAATAGACTTTCATTCCTTAAAGAAATTTTAATTAATACATTTTAATAACTAAAACATTCTTTATAGCATTAAAAAAAATTTTTATATACTTTTGGAATTGCAGGTTTAATTAAAAATATTAATTCTAATTTTGTCATAGATAAGTCATAAATTCAAAATTTTAAATATCTCAATATTATACCCGTCGAAGACCGGTATGACAGCTAGCAATTTAATAAAATTAAATAAAAAATTAAAGTTTACAAAAAATAGATTATACTTAAAAAAATTAAACTCTCAAAAGTTCCTAAATTAAATTTTTTAAAAGAATAAATAACATTTTTAAAACAGTAAATTAGAACCATAATTTTTCAGAATTTTAATTGAAATTTTATTCCTTTTTTAAAAAAAAAATTATTTTCTAGTAAAAGTGAAAATTTTGAAAGTAAATTTTTTTTGTGCGAAATTGAAAGTGAAAGAGATTGAGAAAATTTTTCAAGTAAAAATGAGAACTTTTTTAGTGAAAGTGAACATTTTTTGGGTGAATTAAAAAGCAAAAATTTCTTGAGAACACTTCTTGAAGGGTTAAAATACCTATGAAAAATTGTTTTCATTTAATTAAAAATGTTTGATTAATATGACAAAAGAAGAAAAAGAAGAAGAAGAAGAAGAAGAAGGAAAAATTAAATTAAAAGAAACTTCATGTTAATACCATTTTCCTCTTTGACATGTTCCCAAAGTTCTGTCAATTGAGCGACTTCCTCCTCAGACCATTCCTTGGGTAGTCTCCTTTGAATTTCATTTCTCACAGACTGAAATCAGTGAGCAAAAAAAAGTCACATTTTTTTTATTATTCTAAAATCCAATCCTGTAAATATAAAGTCTTGGAAGACTCCCTCTAGAATTGCGATGAAGAATGTGACTCAAGTTTTGTAACGAAAAATAATCCATGCATAGAGCTGAGGCATAAATTTTGTCGACAAATCCTAGAGGGGACTCAATTCTGTTTTTTCGCATATGGTTCACTCGTACAAAAAAAAAGAAAAGTCTTAAAACGTATTTGAGGCCAGGCTGGCGACACTTCTCATAAATCATTCGAACGTGTCACACAGGCGTTGAGGGAAACTAGGATCAAGAACCACACGTTGAATGGTGACGAACGAAAAATTATTCCCAAAAAAAGAAGAATATGGAAAAATCGGAATTTGGTTTCAGAGCATGCAAAAAAAAAAGAAAATTACATGTAAAAATAAATTCTGATGTATTTTCATTTTTCAATCTAAGTTCATGAAGAAAAAAGATCTTTTGATGTAGAAAAGTAGGGGAAATTTCCCTTTCAACAAAAATTGAAAAATGGTAAAAATTGTCTTGTTCTTACCTTTGAATTAACGATGAGACACATTTCTCGTAATTTTTTCATTACACCACGACTTGTTCGGTCCTTATTGATCAAATTATCCAAAAGCCAATCGATTAAATCTGTAAATTTGAGGAATTATATTTTTAGTCTCTTGGAGATAGTAGTTTTCTTTTCTATGTGACAAGTTTCGTAAATAGTCTCTGTCATCTGGCACTTTAGCAACGTAATAACTTCCCAAGGGAAGTTTTCGATTGATTGCTTTGTCCTAGGGTGCATATATATTGGCAAATTTTCAGAAACAAATTTCTCCTCGAAACTATGAACACTATTTTGCTATTAATATCCAATTAACGAATTTACAAAATAAAAATGCTCTCAATTATCACTTGAAACATTTTCGGTTTTTTTATTTATTAATTTATCTATAATATAAAAAAATAATTATTAATTTAATTTATTTGAATTAAACTAATTAATACGTTTATTTATTTTTTTACCTCATTATTATCTAATCGCTTTACTTATTTATTTATTTTTTTATCAGAATAATTTTTTTATATCCTTTTTCATTCATTTATTTGATTATTTCGGCACTTATAATATGTTTATTTTTTATTTATTCAACTGTTTATTTGTTTACCTATATTTATGTTAATTAATTTTGTCTAATTATTTAAATAGTTATTAATTTACTTCGGTTTATATCTTTATTGATTTGTCTTTTTCTTTCTTTCTTTATTTTTTTCTTAATTATATACATAGGTATTTATTTGTTTATTTATTTGCTTTTCTTGATTACTATTTTTTCCACACGTCAAATTATTTGTTTACTTATTTATTTACTTGATCATTTATTTGTTTACGTATTTATTGACTTCTTTTGTTAATTTGTTTTTTCGTTTAATTATTTATTTATTGTTTCATGAAAAAAGAAATATGTAAATCAATTTGTATTTGATATTCTTGGAAATTTAAAAATATTTTGTTTGAGAAAATTTTTTATAAGTGTGTTAAAGATATCTAAGATTCTGAACAAGTATGCGGAAAAAAAAGTTTCAAAACTTTTCAGTAGAATTTAAAACATTCTTTAAAGTTTATGAAAATCTTGGTAAAAGTGTAAAGAATACTGAAAGTTTTCGAACGTGAAAGATAATCTTGAATATTTAGTCAATATTTTCCTTGGTATTATAAAAATTTATTTTTCTTTCATTTATTAAAAACAATACAACATAATAAGTTAATAAGTAAATAGAAAAAAAATATAATATGTAAAAAAAAGTGAAGAAAAATAAAACTAGAAAAATGAAGAAAGAAAATAATTATAAAAATTAGTAGGTAATTAAAGAAATAAGTAAATAATTAAATTAATAAGCAAGCAGATAAACAAATTAATAATTAATAGATAGAAGAAACATATAAATTAATAAAAAATCCAAAATGTACATTAGTAATTAAATAAGAATGAGACCAAACTAAATATATATACTAAGTATGTATATAAAAAAATGTGAAAACGAATGACAAATATTTTAATTAATTGATTAGTTTAGAAACTAATAAGTAAATAAATTAGTGGGTAAACAAATAAATGAAACATTACTTATGTAAATTTATAAACAAATAAGCAAACAAGTCATAAAGAAACAAATGAATAAATAATTATATAAATAAATAAACAAATAAATATACAAACAAATAAATAAATAAAAACCGTGGCCAAGCTGTACATGGGTGATTAAATTTAAAATGTCATTTTCATGCCCTGCCCAAAAATCTGGAATACTAGTTCATATATAAAAGTTTTTGAAATCAATTAATTTTCTTAATCACTCCTTCTACTTAAATTAATACACGGAGAAAAATTTATTCGTACTGATTACAATTGTCTATATTACTGCTCGGATATGTATGTGACCACTTTTTGTTATGATTACTATAGCTGTTGTAAGGAGTACAAACATGAAGGTATCCCTTACAACAGCTGTAGTAATCGTTCCTACTAAATTCTTAACACATTACATAGTCTTCGTAATCATTCCAAAAAGTGGTCACATATCCGCGCTGTAATGTAGACTATTGTAATCATTAAAAATAATTTTTCTCCGTGTAATTCTTAGTCGCTAGAAATTCTCTGAAAAAATTTGGCAGAAGAATTAGAAGCAAAATGTCAGTGGTGTCCCTTGTCCGCACTTAAGAAATCAGAACTTTACCTAATAATAAAAATTGTTGATTCTCACATTTTTAGTACCAGAAAAATTATTTAGTACAGCTAAGAGTCTATATTTTTATATAGTAATTGTGCTAGCAGAATAATTTTTATCCAGTGCTAGAAAAAAAATCAAAATCGCCTGTCCGTAAGTTTCATATTTTTAAGTAATTATCTCAAATTTTGAATATCATGCCTGATATTTAAATAACCTAGTGCAGACAATTGCTTTATTAAGCGTTAATAGTACAGCTTCTTAAAAAAAAAAACATTACAACATTCTATCACATCTATAACTTGTACGGTTGGTGGCAGAAAGCAAGTAACACTTTGTCGAGCACACCATGTCAGTGGTGTCCCCATAAAAAAATTGTTCATAAAATTAATATTTTTAAAATATTATTGTATCTCATTTTCAGTTATTACACGTACTTTAAAAACCGCAACGACTTTAACTTAAAAATAAAGTCTTTCTTTTTCGAAAATGAGAAATGAAGCAAAATGTCAGTGGTGTCCCTTGTCAGTGGTGTCCTCAGTCCCCTCAAAATTCTGTTTCTTGCAGCTTATTATTTTATTTTTAATAAATTTGTGTTAAATTTACTCCTTATATGCAGTTAATGAAGATTTAATACTGGATTGTAATTTATAAGCTGATTTTATTCTCACTATTCAAAAAAAATTATCAGTGAAATCTTTCAAAAATGTCAGTGGTGTCTCTCAATGTTCATATGTCTTTTTGGTCTTCAAAAGTATATTAATTTATGGCAGAACTCATTACAAATATTTTTTAAGTCATTTTGAAACATTCATTATTGTAATTTGAAATATTTTAACTTTTTAAAGTTGTAGGAATTTATTTGAGAAAAGAATAAACGAAAACATAAAATTTCTTATCATTTCTGCCTATCGTTTTTCACCTGGTGAAAATTAAAATTTGCTTCCACCTGCTCGACCACTATTATTTTTGTCCATCATATATTCTAGTCAACCAAAATAGAGTATCGTTAAGTTCAAAATCCTACATCGAAAAATCAAAGTTAGTAGGATCAAAAATGACATTTTAAATTTAATCACCCACATATTTATAATTTTGGTGTTCATTTCATGAACACTTTGCTTCCTCATAGAAATAATAATAATTGAAATATAAGAATTACTTTTTATAAACTGGTTAAAAATCATTAAATCTTCGTCCAAAAAATGTGTTTTTATATATTCTATAAGATGGTAATAATACCTAGTTTAATAATTACACATAAGTTTATAAACAAGAATGTTGAAAAAATGATATTTTCCACAATTTTTGATTTTTCAAATACCAATAATTTCATAATTTCTGCCTGAATCAGGTTCAAAAATAGGTCAATCGAAGCGTTTATTAATGCTCTTCAAGTTGGTAATAATATTTTTAAAGTTACTTCTACATAATTCAAAAAATTTCCATGAAAGTCTTATTTTTCAAAATTTTAGATTTTTAAAATTTTCATATCTCCGGCTAATATGGACGAAAAATGTTCAATGAAAGCTCAAAAGATACGTCTGAAAAAACTCTACAAAACTAAAGAAAAACATTTATAGCTGTTCTAACATTTTTTTGAAGTTATTGCCAAAAAACGTTCTTTTACAAAATGAAAAATGCAAAAAAATATAGTTAAACTTTATGAATCGGGCTGAAAATACACTCATTTTATATCCCCCGAGAAGATCTACAATTTAAAAAAAAATTGAAGCCTTTATAGCTCTTTCTCGTTCTGAGATATTGAGGCAAATGTAATGTTAGTACACACACACGGGAAATTTTTTTTAAATCCATTTTTTGGACTTCTGAGGTCAAATTACATCGAAATTTTTATTTATTTATTTATAACATTTATACGGACAGTGCCCATTCGAAAATAAAGTACTAAAAGATTAGGTATAAGGAAAATAAGTTTATAAATATGTCAAAAAATCACAATCGAAAATTTTGCTAATACAATCCTTCCTCTATGAAGAAGCAATAAACAATCAATTAGCAAATTTATAAACAATTAAACACGCAATTAAATAAATAAAGAAACAGATAAATAAGCAAATAAACATATAAATAAATAATTAGGGGAGAGGTACGAACGTTGAGACGGGTTCAGTTTTTCAGTTTTAATTTTTAACAAACAAAATTTAGTGAAAAATTCGATATGCTTTCTTAAAAGTATTGTCCAGGGCTACAACAATGCCAAAGAAAATTATTTTTTTTTTAACAAAAATGAAAAATTTATAGCTGATTTTTTAAACATGTTATTTTTGACAAAAAAAAAGTGGTACGCACGTTAAGACACCCATAGTAATTCATTTTAAATTGAAACAAAATGAATAATTACGTCAGATTCTAATTGTTTGTTGTTTATTTACTTGTTTTGATGGTCTTAGCGCAAAGAAAAAAATTAAAACATTAAAAATTAACTTAAAGAAGATAATCAAAAAATAAAATTTTATTTTGCACAAAAATAATTAATCGAAATCTTTATATTCGCAATTTTTACAGGTGAAGAACATGTAAAACGCTTAAAAATTGTGGATTCAAAATCAATTTTAATGACAGTACTATTTTCACACCGTGAGCGTTTTAACCTGCGTACCACAGTGTGTCTCAACGTGCAGACCTCGCCGTTATTTTTTTAAAGCTTTGAAATTATTTGTAGATGTTAACGTATGTTATAACCAAAATTATAACAATAATTGTAATTAATATTACATTAAAAATATAATTTAATAAATAAGCAAAATAAGTGGATTTATGAAAAAAATTAAAGTAAAGTTTAAAGAAAAAAACCAATTATTTTGTGCAACAAGTAAATAATGAAATTGACATAGTTTTCGAGAAGAATTTCACGGAGCGTTCCGTGGAAAAAAAATTGATGAAATTCCAACAGATAAGACACAACGAGACACAAAAATAAGGTAAATTATATATTGCGCGATATTAAGGAGAAAGAATTGGAGAAATGTCGAGAAAGAGAAAGAGGGAAAAAAGTATGAATCCAATAAAGAAATTAGTTTTGTGAAAGAAAGTTACTGTGTGGGGAAAGGAGACGATTCTTTTCTCGTTAGTCGAACGGCTTGGTGACTTTTCTTCGCGAGTATAAAGTCGATAGAGAAAGGACGAGACGATACCTTGAGGATACTTGTTAGTTTGATGCTCCATGAATAAGGTGCGTAGTTCGTCTTCTTCTTCCTCGGACCAGACGGCGCGAGAAACTTTCTTGTTTGTTGGTTGTGTGTCGTAGCCCTCAACCATTTCGGTGGCTTGGAGGGTCGTTTTCCAGAACAGCAATTCCATGTACGCTTTATGATTCTTTTGTGCGATCTCCGTGAAACTGCGAATTATAAAGATGGCAAACTTTTTCAGCTCCTGAAACATCATCATTCGACTTAAGCTTCTTGCAAATATTTCTCTCCCTCTCCTTCTCTTTTTCTCTCTCTCTTTCTCTCTACATCTATATTGATGTATATTGAAAAGTACCCTTGAAAAATCTATTATTTGAAAGAAACTTTTCATTTCGTAGACAAACTTTTTCAACTTTATATTTGTTCAAAAAAAAGTTCTCAAGTTCACCACATTCTTTTGTTCAAAAAAAAGAAAGAAATCAAAATTCTATTATCTACAAAAAGAAAAATTTCTTTTTATTTCTGAAGAAAAGTTGAATTTTTATTTTATTTATAGAAATGTAAAGGAGTAATATTTTCAATAGAATTATAGATTTAATTTTTTTTCAATTAAAAATGTTATTTTTACTTTCTTTTGTTCAATAGAAGATGAATTGATTTTGAAAATCGCGTCTATTGTATTTTTAGTTCTCTCAGCGTCCACCAGGTGTCTTCTCAGCTTCTCTCACTAGCAGAGATTTAGTTTCACTTCTTTCGATTATGTATCAACCGTATTTAATTTTTATAATTATTATATGTTTATAATAATAAAAAATAATTTTATTTAATTTACATAAAATGAAAATTTGTAAAACAAAAATTATAATTATATAAAATGATAAAGAAGTATAAAAAGATAAGAACACTATAGGTACTGGTAAAGAAGTCTCAATAAAAATGAATAAGAAAAACTTAAAATTAAAAAATAATAAAATAAAACAAAAAGAAATTCTTAAAAAAGTTGAATTTTTCATAAACTTTTACAAAGCCAATGGATTTGAGTGAAAAAAATTATAAAGCAAATTTTTGAGAAACAAATTTTTACCTTGTGCTCTGGTGATTTGGAATCGAGAATTTTTTGAAAAATTCTAAATATCGATGCCTGATAAATCATGGCGCTCATTTTGCAATCCCAAGCGATGCGATGTAACATTTTGATGATATAGTGATTCACTTCTATTGAATTCATTTCGAATCCCTGAAGAAGAAGTGCCATCGCTTTAACCACTTTCATATTGGCAAACCTGCAAGTTAGTTTTTGTGCAAATAAAAAATATACTTATTTTGTTAATTGTTAACTCATTCTTTTTTTTGGGGGAAAAAAACATTATTTATATTCCCGTTTCTTAATATTTTTGTAGAAAATTCTCAATTTTCATAAGAAAATAATTTGCATCATTTCTATTTCTTAATTACAATCGTTTTAATAAAATTCAAAGTTTTTTAAAAATAAAGGAAAAAAATGTTTATAAATTCTATTTGACAATTTCAAATTTTAATTAAAAATTAAATTGAAAACTTTTTATTTTTTATAAAATAAAGGAAAAAATTTTACTTAAATAAATGATCTGTTACATTTATTTACGAATTTCTTCAACTGCAAAATTATTCGAAAATGTCAATAAAGTCTTTTTTAAATAAATATTTAATTATTATTATTTTTCCATAGGAATTGAGATTTTCAAAAATTTCAAATTCCAATTTTTTGTTTGTCAAAAGTTTGACAGTTAATTTATAGATAATAAAATAAGTGGAGTTAGAAAATCTAACCCAAATTTCAAAAAATTTCAATAAAGAAGGTATACAGTTGCAATTTCATAAAATAATTAATTATTCTATGAATTATTTCATTTTGTATTTAAATAATTGAATTCTGATAAGAATTGATTTAAGAAAGAATTTTAGTTAAAACTTCAGAAAATAATTAGAAGTGTGAAAATAGGATTCTGTAGAAATAAAATAATTAAATTTTAAAAAGTTTTTAAATTTAAATCTTTGAAATTCTAATTGCTGTAAAAGTACCATAATATTTAAACATAAAAAATTATTATGAAAAATTTTCATTAAATTTAAAAAAGAAAGAGATCGATTTCTTCATGTTTTATAATCATTAAGTATGACCAAGTAATAAAATCATTTTTTTATATTATATGAATATTCTGCTATGAGTTTTATTATTTTTGAAAATAATAAAATTCCTCAAAAAATTTATTATTTATCAAAATAATTTAATTATTGCAAAGAAATTTATAAAAAATTTGTTAATTGAATTCTTGTGAAATTTTTATTATTTTGACAATAATTAAATGATTGTAAAGAATTTTATTAGAATTTTTTTTTAAATAATTCATTTCTTTTGGAAAATTGTTATTAAAATAGTAAATATTGAAAATCATTGACCTGAGGAAAATTTTTGAAAATAATTGAAATTTCTATGTGTAATAAAAGAAAAATATTTTATACACTTTTTTCCTTATAGTTGTAAAAAAAATTTCTATAAGGCGATGAAAAAGGATGGAAAAGTATTTTTTAATTAGTGTCTCACGTTATGTATTATATTGAAAATGAAAAATCACACACACCTGCGAATGAAATCTATAAAAACGAAATCAGTTTCCACACAAGTGCGTCGTTCTTCCATTTCTTCCTCATCCTCCTCATCGTCTTCTTCCTCTTCATCTGCAATGGTTAAGACAATGGCGATTAATTAAGAAGTTTTTAGATTTAATCCATTTGTTGCACTCGAGTGTAAAAAATTAAACTTACCATTGTATTCCATCTGTTCTTCTCCCACTTGTTCTTGGCCATTCACATTTAAAATTTCTTCTGGAACTGAAATTAAAGAAAGAAAGAAAAAAAGTTATCAAATAATTGTACATTTAAATAAATTATTTATTATTACAAATTTATAGGAAAATTTTTTATGAAATTTTGAATAAAATATTTGTGACTCGCTCTTAAAAAAGGTACGTACATTTCTTGGGATAGGGATCATCCATAAATAACGTTACACTTATTTTCGGGTTTTTTGACCCCCACCCCCCCCTTTCGTTGCATTTGGTTGCAAATTACCAACACCCCCCCCTAAATATAACGTTGCAAAAATGACTTTTACCCCCAAAATAAGAATTATATTATTTTTCTGGATTAATGAAGTAATTTTTCTTATTTCTCATATTATTATTATTTATTAAAATTAATTCTGATAATGATTTACACAACAATAATAATTTATAATAATATTAAGAAACATTTTGCAACGTTACATTTCAAAATCACCCACCTCCCCCCTTGTTGCATTTGGTTGCAAATTACCAACACCCCCCCCTAAATATAACGTTGCAAAAATGACTTTTACCCCCAAAATAAGAATTATATTATTTTTCTGGATTAATGAAGTAATTTTTCTTATTTCTCATATTATTATTATTTATTAAAATTAATTCTGATAATGATTTACACAACAATAATAATTTATAATAATATTAAGAAACATTTTGCAACGTTACATTTCAAAATCACCCACCTCCCCCCTTGTTGCAATCAGTTGCATTTTCCAACCACCCCCCCTCCCCTAATCGTGTAACGTTATTTATGGATGCTCCCTAATAGTACATACCTACTAAAATATATAAGATATATAAAATACCTATAAACTAAAAAAAAAGTTATAAATAATAAAATAAATATTTGGAAGCGTTCACAAATGATGTCACGTTTTTGGGGGTGGGGGGGGTCTATACTAAACGTGACATAATGTATTTTTCACATGTGAAATTGCATGAAATTGCATAACAAGGGGGAGGGGGGGTTGAAAATCTCAAAAAATTGCGTGACATAATTTGTGAACGCTCCCTTTTTTATTTTATTTACAACTTTAAATTCTTACAATTGTAACGTAAGTAGTAACAGACATTCATAGTCAGACACAATCGTTCTACAATCTTGTAATCTTATTACAAGTAGTATGAATATAGTTTGGTCCGACAGGAATAAGCATTTTGTATATAAAAACTATGAATATCGTATCAGTAGTAAAACTTTGTTTTCGTCAGACAAAGAATTTAAATTTTATTATATTTTCATTTTCATCAGTAAAAGTCAGTTTTGTAATGCAGAGGGATTTACATTCTTGTTATTTCAGTTTAAGTAGTTAACCTCAGTTTTAGTCAGTCGATATAAGTACACAGTAAATCGTTAAGAGTTAAAATAACACCAGAATGGATTAAAATAATCCGCAACAGTTTAATCCCTATAGGATTAAATTAACACCAGAAAGGGTTAAAATAAGCAATTTCAGTGTTTTTTTTACTATGAATAAAATTTTACTTTAACGGCGTTGGAAGGTCTGTGAAATTTTAAGGTTACAATTATCGCCCGACAAAATACGGCACTGACTGATTTAAATGACGTGAAATAGGTAAATAAACATTTTTCAACCACTTTTTCTCTAAACACAGACACTTTTTACAAAATAAGCCAACGTACAATGGGTAAGAATCTTCTTAATAACCTAAATTCAAAAGATTGTTTAAATTCATGCAGAAACGCGGTTGTAAAGTAATTGGAAAGTAATGTAATGACAGACAACAAGAAGCGGTTTACTGCCAGTCACCAGAAGAGGGCAGAAGCATGCAGAGAGTACAATGTTCCAGCTGTTATATTCTTAGCATTATATCACTTTCCAATTTTACATTTTACAACCGCGTTTCTGCATGAATCTAAACAATCTTTTGAATTTAGATAATTAAGAAGATTCTTACCCATTGTACGTTGGCTTATTTTGTAAAAAGTGTCTGTGTTTAGAGAAAAAGTGGTTGAAAAATGTTTATTTACCTATTTCACGTCATTTAAATCAGTCAGTGCCGCGCCGTATTTTGTCGGGCGATAATTGAAACCTACAAATTTTACAGACCTTCCAACGCCGTTAAATCAAACACCAAGTCAATGATTAGTCAAAATTCGACAAATTTAGCTGCACTAGGGACAATAGTTAGTTAGTAACTAACTTACTAACTAACGATCTGACTAACTTTCTAACTAAGTAATTTAGTAACGTTCTAACTAATTTACAAACTTAATTACTAATTAACCAGGGTGTCCGAGAAATGCGTGAAAAGCGGGAATTGTAAGGGAAATTTTTTGGTGCGGGAAATGTACGGGAATATGCGGGATTTTTATCTGACACCGGGAATAGTCTATATTAAAGTTATTGTTGTTTAATTATTGTTTTAATTGAACTGTTGTTTAATTATATATTAAATTTAATTGTTACTTTAATGAATTCGAACACTGTATTACTCGTGTTGGAATTTATTTTTTGGAATTATTAATAGTTTAGGTGTACAGGTTTAGAAAGAAAACTGTACACATTCACGCAGAGACTTGTTATGATTACAATAGTCTACATTAAAAGGAAATCTTGGATTCTATTCACATTAGCAGCAGTCTAAGGGAATCAGTGATACAGACAGTCGTAGTCATTACAACAGGACTATTGTAAAATAAGGTGACCGGCTATCTTGCCTTCTTATTTTACTATAGTCATTTGTAATCACTAATATTGCTACCTTACAGTCACGGAATACGATATTCCGACTCAAAACGCTAACTACTAACTAAACTAACTAACTTAACAATGCTAACTAACAAAACTTACGTAACAAACGTAAGTTACGTAAGTAGAGTAAATTACGTGATTAATGCAACTTACGTAAGTTAAGTAACTAGAGTAATTTACTAATTAATGTAACTTACGTAACTACTGTAAGTTACCGTATTTACGTAAATTACGTAACTTACGTAAGCAATCTAATTTGCTTAACTGACTTACGAAAATTTTCTTTTTTTACTTTACTACAGTCATTTGTAATCAGAAATGTAGCAATATTAGTCTTTACAAAGGACTGTAGTAAAATAAGAAGGCAAGACAGACGGTCACCTTATTTTACAATAGTCCTGTTGTAATGACTACGACTATCTGTATCACTGATTCCCTTAGACTACTGCTAATGTGAATAGAATCCAAGATTTCCTTTTAAAGTAGACTATTGTAATCAGTCACATAGACATTGTGATGACTTATATTAAGTTCGTATTAATTTCAAATAAATTTTTAATGAGTACGTTCGACTTACAGAATTGTTACAACGAAGCTACTTTAGGCATTACAAAAAGTGGTCACATATCCGAACAGTACTGTTCGACTATTGTAATCATTAACAGAAAATTTTTCTCCGTGTAGGTCCGTAAATTTTTATAAAGTCCGTAAAAGTCAGTTTTTTAAAAAAAAAGTCCGTAATTTGTTTGAAAAAATGCGAAAACACCGTAAATTGTACGATATAATTTGGAAAATTTTTTAGAAGTTACAAATGATTGCAAAATTTTAATTATTTTTAAAAGTAATTAAATTCTTCGCAGAAATTCAATTATGTTTTAAAATTTTTAAAGATTCTCTTCAAAATTTCATAATTGTCTTTATAAATAATAAAATTCTTCTCTAAAATTCAATTATTTTTAATAGTTTTAATAAAATTAAAAAAATTTTTAATTATTATTATATTTTCCTCAATTCAATCATTTTCAATATATCTATGGGACATTCCACGTCAACACGGACAGAGCTCTAAACAAAAATTGCCTTGATGGATTTAAACGTTTTAGGGCTTAAAAGATTTCTACGTTCATGTAATTTAAGATGCCGATGGGCGTTTTTTGCAAAATTCCATTTCCGATGCCAATAGAACTGTCAAAAGTCAAAAGGTCCAAAAATCTCAAAATACTTTTATGAATTAAAAGCAAAAAACGAGGTAAATTATTCTGTAACTCATTCTTTATCAGTTTTTAGGGTTCCCGAATATAAATCTAAAGTTTTTTTTTAAATCCAAAATGGCGAATTCAATATGGCGGACAAAATTCAAATTTGATCAGATTCGATTAAAACTTGTTACTCGGAGGTTTTTAGGGTCGCTGATTACGAATCTGAAGTCACTTTTTAAAAATTCAAAATGGCGGATCCAATATGGCGGAAAAAATTTTCAAATTTGATCCGATTCCCTTAAAACGTGTTACTCGGGGGCTTTTGGGGTCGCAGATTATGAATATGAAGTTACTTTGTGTTTGAGACTTCAAATTCATAATCAGCTACGCTAAAAACCACCGAGTAACACTTTTTAATTAAATCTGATCAAATTAAAAAATTTGATCCGCCATTTTGAATTTCTACAAAGTAACTTCATATTCATAATCTGCGACCCCAAAAGCCCCCGAGTAACACGTTTTAAGGGAATCGGATCAAATTTGAAAATTTTTTCCGCCATATTGGATCCGCCATTTTGAATTTTTAAAAAGTGACTTCAGATTCGTAATCAGCGACCCTAAAAACCCCCGAGTAACAAGTTTTAATCGAATCTGATCAAATTTGAATTTTGTCCGCCATATTGAATTCGCCATTTTGGATTTTTAAAAAAAAAACTTTAGATTTATATTCGGGAACCCTAAAAACTGATAAAGAATAAGTTACAGAATAATTTACCTCGTTTTTTGCTTTTAATTCATAAAAGTATTTTGAGATTTTTGAACCTTTTCACTTTTGACAATTCTATTGGCATCGGAAATGGAATTTTGCAAAAAACGCCCATCGGCATCTTAAAGTACATGAACGTAGAAATCTTTTAAGCCCTAGAACGTTTAAATCCATCAAAGCAATTTTTGTTTAGAGCTCTGTCCGTGTTGACGTGGAATGTCCCCTATAGATAAATTAAAAATTTTATTAAAATATAAAATTATATTTTATTAAAATATAAAAATAAATTTATTTATACTACATTTTA